GAGAGAGAGAGAGAGAGAGAGAGAGAGAGAGAGAGAGAGAGAGAGAATATGGGAGAGAGGGGAGAGAGAAAGAGGATGAAGGAGAGAAAAAGAGAGAGAATGGGGGGGAGAGAAGGGGAGAAGGGGAGAGGGAGCCTTGTTAGCACCACTCTGTGTTCCAGGCTTGGTCAGAAAAGGGATTGCAGAGTTCTTAAACAAGAGGTAGCATATTTGTGGGTGATCAAGGGTGTGACCATCTTCGAGTGTGGTTGAGGTCAGGCAGAGGAGGTTGAGAAATAAGAGTTTAAGGTGTTTGTGGGAGAGTCAATCTGCGTGCTGAAGTCGCCGACTATGAGGACAGTACATATAAGGAGATTTGAGGGGAAGGCAGGAGAAGATGAGGGGAACAGGAAAGCTTTCCTGCCAAAGGTGGTGCTTGAGCTCAGCTTTGAAGGCTAGGAGAGATTCTAAGAGCCCTTTCCATGTCTCTCCTATACTGAAGGAAAAAAAAAACCCTCACCTTAGCCTTCCATCCCCTTCTAACTAACTATTTTCGATCTCTTCTGCCCTTTGTAGTTAAACTCAAGAAGGCCATCTACAAAGGTGCCTCCGCTATCTCTCCTCTCACTCTCTCCTTAACCCTTCACAATCTGACTTCCTTATCATTCCACCAAAACTACTCTCTCCAAAGTTACTGATGACCTCCTAGCTGCCAAATCCAGTGGTCTTTTCTCAATCCTCATTGTCCTTGACCTCTTTGCAGCCTTTGACATTGTGGATCACTCTCTCTTCCTTAAAGGAACCCCTTGTCTCCTTGTTTTCCTCCTACCTCCCTGACTGTTCCTTCTCTGTCTCCTTTGCTGGATCTTCCTCCAGATCATATCCTCTAACCACAAGTCCCTCAGGGCTCTGTCCTGGGCCCTCTTCTCTTCTCTCTCTGTACCACTTCACTTGCTGATCTTATCAACTCCTGCGGATTTTATTACCATCTCTGCTGACCTCTAACCTCATACCTCCAATCACCTTTCAGACATCTCAAATTGACTGTGAAATAAACATCTTAAACTCAATGTGTACAAAACCGAACTCATTGTATTTCCCGCTAAGTCCTCCACCCCTACCCCTACCCCTCCTACCTTCCCTATTACCGTAAAAGACAACATCATCTGCCCAGTCCCTCAGACTCACAACTCAGGAGTTATCCTGGACTCCTCACCATTTCTTACCCCCCATATCCCAGTTGTTGCCAAAGCCTGTCTATTTCACCTTTGCACCCTCTTTCCTTTGACACTGCCACTTGTCTGGCGCAGGCCTTTATTCCTCACCTCACACCTGGACCACTGCAATAGGCTGGTTGCTGGTGGGTCTGCCTGCCTTAAGTCTCCCCCTACTTCAATATCCTCCATTCAGATGCTAAAGTGA